GGCTGGGTGTGGTGGCTCACGCCTGTAGTTCCAGCTACTTGGAAGGCTGAGGTGGAAGGATCGCCGGAGCCCAGCAGGTTGAGGCTGTGGTGGCTTTGAGTGTGTCACTGCACTCCAGCCTGGGCAACAGAGTGAGACTTTGACTCAAAAAAAACCCAAAAAACTTTTGTAGCCAGGCTAGATGGCTCACGCCTGTAAACTCAGCACTTTGGCAGGCCTACGCAAGAGGAATGCCTGAGTACAGGGGTTTGAGACCAGCCTGGATAACTTGGTGAAACCTCATCTCTACAATAAATAAACAAATAAATCAGCCGGGTGCAGTGGCACATGCCTGTGGTTCCAGCTACTTGGAAGGCTGAGGTAGAAGGATCACCTGAGCCCAGCAGGTCGAGGCTGCAGTGACCATGAGCAGTGTGCCCCTCCACTCCAGCTTGGGCGACAGAATGAGACTCCAACTCAAAAAAAAAAAAGAAAAAGAAAAACCGCCCAAAACATTTATTAAACATAGAATTCATGGGATGGGTTAAGTTTAAGATAATCAGGGCCAAGTGTGGTGGTTCTCATCTGAAAAACCAGATCTTTGGGAGGCCAGGGTGGGAGGCCTGCTTGAGCCCGGGAGTTCAAAACCAGCCTGGGCTGCATAGCAAGACCTCAGCTCTACCAAAAAAATAAAAATAAAAAAATTAGCTAGGTGGGTGACACATGCCTGTAGTCCCAGCTACTTGGGAGACTGAGGCGGGAGGATCACCTAAGCCCCGGCAGTCGAGGTTATGGTGAGCCATGATAGGGCTACTGCACTCCTGCCTGGACGATAGAGTGAGACTCTGACTCAAAAGAGAGAGAGAGAGAGAGAGAGAGAGAGAGAGAGAGGAGAGAAATGGGCAATTCCAAGTATGGATGTAGAGAAACTAGAACCCTCATCCATTGCAAAATAGTGCAGTTGTTTTGGAAAACAGTTTGGTATATCCTCAAAAGTTAAACAATGTTGGCATTCAACCCAGCATTTCCATTCTTAGGTATATATATGCCAAACAGAACTGAAAAATATATGTTTACACAAAAAGTTATATAAAGATGTTCATAGCAGCATTATTCATAACAACCAGAAAAGTGGGAGTAACCCAAGTGTCCATCAACTGCTGAGATCAACAAAGTGTCACATATTCATACAATAGAATATTATTCAGCCATGAAGAAGTATGGTTACATGCTACAACACGAATGAGCCTTGAAAACATGCTAACTGAAAGAAGTCAGATACAAAAAGCCACATATTATATGATTCCATGTATAAGAAATATTCAGAACAGGCAAATTCATAAGGGTAGAAAGTAAATTAGTGGTCTCCAGGGACCAGAGAGGGGAACAGAATTCAGAGTGATTGCTAATGGGGTCAGGGTTTGTCTTGGGAGTGATAAAAATGTTCTGGAGCCGGGCTCGGTGGTTCAGCCTGTAATCCTGCGCCTTTGGGAAGCTGAGGTGAGTGGATTGCCTGAGCCCGCGGGCTCGAGACCTGCCTGGGCAACTTGGCGAGACCTCATCTTTACAATAAATCAAAAAAATTAGCCAGGCGTGGTAGCGTGCGCCTGTAGTTCCAGCTACTTGGAAGGCTGAGGCGGAAGGATCGCCGGAGCCCAGCAGGTCGAGGCTGCAGTGGCTGGGAGTGGCCACTGCACTCCAGTCTGGGCGACAGTGAGACTCCAACTCAAAAAAAAAAAAAAAAAGTTCTGGAATAAAATAGTGATGGCTGCACAACTTTGTAAACATACTAAAAGCAAATAGTACACTTTAAAATGGTGAATTTTATGGTGAATTATAGCTCAGTGAAAAAATGGCCAGATAAAGGTTTACTTGGGCACTTACTAGGTGCCTGGAAGGATACTGGGAACTGTGCATAGATAATCTTATTGAGTCCTTAAAGCCCCCAGGGTTGGATGGTGCTGCCACTATTAAAATATTAGATACTGAAATTGAGGCTCACAGAATGAACCCACCCCTGCTGCACCTACTCACTTTTCCCTCGCAGGAGTAGTTAATCTTCAGGAAGTAAGGGAAGCCCAGGTATTTCTGCAAGGAGAGGTTGGACAAAACATCCAAGGTGAGTGGGATGCGGGTTCAGGACCTCTCTGGCTCGCTTGACCCTGGTTTTCTCACCTCGCCTGGGTCGATGGGTGAGTCCACCAGCATTTGAAACACGCTGCCCACTGTGTCCACAGGCTTTTGATCAATGAAGCGGTCACTCGCGTCATCCTTGCCTATTTTCCGAAATTCGTTCAGGACAACCTGCCAGGTGCACTCTTGGAAACCTTTGACCACCCACAGCCTCCACGGCGCCAACAGCACCGCCAGCAGGGC